CCCCTGAGTCAAGCGTGAAGGTGAGGGAGGCCGAAGCCGACGCAGTACCTGAGAGCGCAGCCTCACCAGTACCTGAGAGTGCAGACGCACTGGCACCTAGAGCAGCAGCCGCAGAAGTACCTAGCGCAGCAGTACCAATGCCCGGGTCGGGCGGGAAACACCGGTAACAGTCACCCTCCTCACTAATAGTCACAGCATACATGGCAGCAAGGATAGCATCAAAGTCAAGATCAAAGATAGCTACGCCAGCCCTAGACAGCTCTCCCCAACGGGGAATCTCACTAGCCTCGGGGAACTGCTGACGCCAAGCGTCCGTCAGGCGGCCAAAGCAGCGCTGGGTGGGGTGGGCACCCCCACACTGCTCACCCGCGCGGTCGCCGGAACGAAGGACGTAGGTGCACGGACCAAAACCCCCACCCCGCTGACGCTGCGTGTACCACTCACGGAGCTGCTGGGGCGGGGGGATGTCCCGCGAACGCTGCTGCTGCTGCTGCTGCTGCTGCTGACGCTGGCTACCACCAGAGCCGCTACGCTGCGGGGCACCACCCCGACCAGCTCCACCCCCTCCGCCACCGCCGCCTCCACCTCCACCACCACCGCTGCCTCCGCTCCCACCGCTGCCGCCACCACCGCCTCCTCCTCCGCTGCTGCCACCGCCACCACCACCGCCCCCGCCACCACTCCCACCGCCACCCCCACTCCCTCCGCCGCCTCCACCGCCACCTCCACCGCCCCCGCCAGTTCCACCCGCGCCCTTGCCCCCCTTGCCCCTGCCAGGGCGGCGTCTCCCGCTAGGGGCAGACGCCGCGCAGACCGACTCAAGACCAAGCAGGTCGGCAGCAGCAGCAGAGGCAACAGAGGGCAGCAGGGGGGAAGGAGAACACCCCTCAAAGATGGGGGTGCGAGGGTCACCACGAGAGGCTCCTACAGCGACGATGCTCTTCTCCGCCGCCAGGAGGGACTTCTCGAGGAGGTCGACAGTGAGAGTGGTGGGACAGACTGAGAGGAAGTGGTCCCTGACTACGTGAAGGGAGTTAGGGAGGCGTGTGACTATGTAATAGAGAGTGATGTACATGGGGGGGGGATTCTTGGCGCAGAACTCAGCAGGAAGGGCGGCGCGGTAGCGAGTGTCACTAGTGCGGAGGTGCGTAATGAGGTCAGCGACAGTGGGAAAGGCAGCAAGGTCAGGAAAGAGGTACGGTAGCATGAGGCGGCTCAGGGCAGCAGTGGCAGGGGAAGAGTAGCGCGCAACTACAGCGTCGTACAAGGTCTGAGCACTCTTGTACTGACTAAAGTGCGCGCGCTCAGTGGTAGGCAGGTGGCGACGCACAGCAAGACGTGCAGCAGCATCGCGGGTGGCCCACTGGGAGCGAACAGTGGGGTCAGCATCAGCAGCAGGGGCAGGAGAGGCGCCAGAGGTGAGGTCAAAGAGGGAAAGACCGTCCGCCCTATCGCACTGTAAGAACAGCTGCAGGTCGTCGACCCAGACCTCAAAGTCAATGGCTCGACCCTCAGCGTCAAAAGCGAGGACACTAGGGGTAGCCATGACGACGACAGTGTAGTAGTGCAAGCAGTAGGGGAAGGGCACGCAGTAACAGTGGTGCTGTGCTCACCAGGCAGGGCAGGTCGGGCGGCTCGGCAGTAGGGCGGCCCGGCGGCTGGGCGGCTCGGCGGCTCGGCTGCTGGGCGGCTCGGCTCCCGGGCGGCTCGGCGGCTGGACGGCTCGGCGGCAGGGCGGCTCGGCGGCAGGGCGGCTCGGCGGCTCGGCTCCCCGGCGGCTCGGCGGCAGGGCGGCTCGGCGGCAGGGCGGCTCGGCTCCCGGGCGGCTCGGCTGCTGGGCGGCTCGGCGGTAGGGCGGCTCGGCGGTCGTAGGCGGCGGGGCCGGTGAGGATAGGCGGCGGGGCCGGTGAGGATAGGCGGCGGGGCCGGTGGCGTAGGCGGCGGGGCCGCGAAGTGGGGCGGCGGGGCCGCGTAGGTGAGGGCGGCGGGGCCGCGAAGTGAGGGCGGCGGGGCCGCGACGTGAGGGCAGCGGGGCCGCGAAGGTGAGGGCGGCGGGGCCGCGACGTGAGGGCGGCGGGGCCGCGAAGGTGAGGGCGGCGGGGCCGCGTAGGCAAGGGCGGCGAGGCCGCGACGTGAGGGCGGCGGGGCCGCGACGTGAGGGCGGCGGGGCCGCGTAGGTGAGGGCGGCGGGGCCGCGACGTGAGGGCGGCGGGGCCGCGACGTGAGGGCGGCGGGGCCGCGACGTGAGGGCGGCTGGGCCGCGACGTAAGTGCGGCGGGCTCGCGTAGGTAAGGGCGGCGCAACGGGCCGCTAGGGGCGACACGGAGGGTCGCTAAAAAAAAGGAAAGCGCGCCTCGGGGCGCGCTTCGGTGGGCCCTAGAAACAGTCCCTAGGAGGGGACCTGCTCTGATTCCATGTGAGAAGTAGAACGCGAATGGATGAACTATGAATGAAGTGAGTACATATAGGAAACCCTAATTGGGTTGTACCCCCTATGGGATACCCCACTATAGCCTACACAACAGCATAAGCTATATAATGTTCTGACAAGAAGTACCCTCGCGCGGTTAAGATAGCGGCGGTTAAAATACCGCGGACTAGGTGTATCATGCGTAATTAGTGAAACGCGAATTTGCCAGCACTTTCTCGTGAAGGCTCGGTGACGTTGGTTAACGAAAAGTGCAAAAACGTAAGCAAGGGGAACAGTGAGTTGAGACTCACTCGCTGCAGCACCGGGTAACCAGGCGAGTGCACATCAGCCTGTCCCAAAACTGACCGTCGATCAGATGTGTATTCATTCCAGGGGTCTCGATAGTTTTTTTGGACACCCTCTCCAGAGTTGTGAAGGAGTTTCTGTTACTACAGTATGCCAGGCGCAGCAGGGCCAGGAGTTTGCAGGGTGTTAGGTGTTCTATTACGGGAGTTTTCCGTTTAAAAATTACCGTCGGTGCAACAAGACATGGAGGGGGAGACGAGGAAGAGTTTAATGGGGAAGGTTGGAAAAGCGGGCCAATTAGGGTAAACCGCCTTCAAACTCTGAGCCCTCGTCCGTGGTCCCCACCTACCTGCGTGTGCTCTCGTATTTGTGGCTGTGGCCGCTCAATCCCACTGTTTGTTGCGTGGCCCCGTCGTTTTGCTGAAGTCACATGCTTGGGGTTGGGGGATCGATTGGCCAGCCTGGCCAAAGCACAGCAAGATTTGTGTCCAACCTACTCATCATTACCTCTGCTGATAGAGGGAATGAGAATCTTCCCATCACACTCATACACCTAGTCAGGTCGTTGAACGTGTTTCAGGGACACCCCTCGTCAATTTTGGAATAATTAGTAAGCCATCCAGTTTCTAGGGGCCTGTACTGATTTTGCTTTTTGCTTAAAGTCTCACGTGGACCAGTAGGTGTAACATGTAACAGTCGAGGGTGTGCTGGGCCTGTTTTGTCCAGAACTTTCACCGCCGGGTAGAAGCGGGCCTAGAGGAAGGGAGTGAGAGGAGGCTGTGGGGGTGGCAGGGGGAAGGGGAGTGGGAAAGAAGGGAGTGGGTGGAGAAAAGGGCTTAAAGCTCAAGGCCCAAATTGCAGAGCGCGCGGGGCAAGCTTACTAAAGTTGATCAGAGTGGTGTTGTGGGGGTTGTTTGGTTGCGAATTGTGGTTACGAGAAGTGCGATGCTGTGTGATTGGCCAGCAGTTTTTTTGTCCAATGGGAGAGAATGAAACACCAAGAATATTGTGAGTGCAATTTGGGACTTCGACAACCAAATCGAGTTGCCCTGGAGTTTGCTGAGTCAGCGAAAGCCTAGCGCGAAGCTGGGCGAAACTGACGAGCCCAACTTCAAAAAAGTCAACGTTCCTCTCTCGATACCCCAAGGGCAACCTTACTAAGGTTGAACAATTTGGGCCTTGAGCTTTAAGCGAGGCCTTCATTGATAACCAAGGAAAGGGCGGGTTCGCCATGAACAGATCCCGAATTCTGTTCACAGCAGCCCTGAAATGTCACGGGTGGCCCGTATAACGATAACGAAAACAGTGGATGTGCCCAGACCCAACCCACAATGCCACCATGCTTCAGGCATGAAGGGGCAAATGCCTCAAATCTCTCAGGACGCGGTAAGAGTAGACGATCGATCGTCAGTCGCGATCAATGTGCGGGTCGGTTACTCCATTTACTACGCTGTAACCATGCTACATTACGCTTTTTGGCCCAATTTTAAGGACAGTGCGTGAATGCGACTGATCACAAATCGCGGGAGATCTATCAAATTTCAGTGGCGATCGTTACAACGTCGCGATCGCCACGTTTCGCTAATCGACCTGCCCAATCGATTGCGGGGATCGATATGTGCAGACGATCCTGTGATATTTGCACTTTTACCGCGTCCTCATCCAGAGAGGCACTCGGTTGGGAGGGGAGAGATGACATGGACGCTGGTTTGCTCCTATTCGTACTCCCATCCATGTCCTCCTGCTCAGCCCATTCCCTCGCTCACAACACCCTGTAACAACTGTAGTGTGGATCTTAGAAACTATGCATGGGTGCCGCCTTTTGCGCACGATTTCCAGCACGAGATACCAAGCACATAAATTTCAGCGTATGGGTTTCACTAACCCAATAATTTATAGCGCATGGATTGGCGGCTGGATGACGTAGAAGGAAGTGGTTAATTTAGGAGACTCCTGTTTGTTGGTAGAGTAATGCAGTAACTACTAATTCGTTGGGAAAGGTAGCATTAGTCACTACGAACCCTGCTTGTGACTCCTGTTCGAAACTCTGCGTGTCGGTATTGAAAAGTTTGAGATCTAGAGCAATTTGATCGCAAATCGAGACGGCGGAGTAGGGTTTCGGTTTTAAAAAATTGGACTCTTGTCACACGCAACCACATTGGCCTCTGCGAGAGTACCCTGTGACCTATTCCTCCACTCCTCAACCGGTGTGCTCGAGAACGTGCGGGAAGACCGGACGAGGTAGAGTTGGGACCTGGAACGTCAAGATCATTCTTCCGCGGCGATGTCGAGTCGGGGGTTGGCCCTGTCGCGAATGGCGGCGGCGGTGGCGGTGTGGATGGGGCTTGCGGGCGTGCTGGCGGGGCTGGTGGCGTGGAGGGTGCAGAAGGGCTTCGACGACAATCGCAAGGCGGAGCTCGACACCTGGTGCGCCGGTCGCGCGCGCTCGCTGCAGCAGCAGTTCATGCTCACCGCCGACCACGTGCAGGTACACGCCCCACCACGTGCAGGTACACGCCCCACCACGTGCAGGTACACGCCGACCACGTGCCAGTGCGCGAATGCCGCGATGCTTCGCCAATGTGCGAAATTCTTAGCGCGGATTCTTGCGAAACAAGAATGCGTCGGCAGGCTCGCTAAGATCCTCCAACCTCCACTCGTACACGCCGATCTAGCCCGCGTCAAGCAAGATCCGGTTATCAATACAATATCAGTCATCTGCGTGCAGCAGCATTCAACACAGTCCCTAAATTGTCTCGGTTATAGTTTAGGTGTGGCGTCGCTGCGGCCGTCCAGGTCGATAGGAGCTACGAATCAAGCCGGGCTGTACAGATGGCTAGGCTTGAATGCGACAAGCCCAGTGCGTGGCGATGGGTGCACGCCGGGAATGCGGGTTGGATAAGCTGATCCGAGCCGACACATGACGTTGAGCGTGATTGCATGCGAAGAAGAGTCCGCAGACTCTAGGGGTCGTCGCACGGGCTGGTGTTGAGACCATCACGCACGATCGTTCGGCAAAGGTCAGATGGGTGGGTGAGGGAGTAAGGGCGTTACTGTGTGAGAAGCCCATGTGGGCCACTGGAGCACTCAATCGCCAACCGTGTGCTGTTTGAGCCACGTGCTGTGTGAGCCACGTGCTGTGTGAGCCACGTGCTGTGTGAGCCACGTGCTGTGTGAGCCACGTGCTGTGTGAGCCACGTGCTGTGTGAGCCACGTGCTGTGTGAGCCACGCGCTGTGTGAGCCACGTGCTGTGTGAGCCACGTGCTGTGTGAGCCACGCGCTGTGTGAGCCACGTGCTGTGTGAGCCACGCGCTGTGTGAGCCACATGCGCCCCATCCAAGCGGCCCCCAAGCGCCCCCCATGCGCCCCCCATGCGTCCCCCATGCGCCCCCCATGCGTCCCCCATGCGTCCCCCATGCGTCCCCCATGCGCCCCCCATGCGTCCCCCATGCGCCCCCCATGCGTCCCCCATGCGCCCCCCATGCGTCCCCCATGCGTCCCCCATGCGTCCCCCATGCGCCCCCCATGCACCTCCCATGCACCCCCCATGCACCCCCATGCACCCCCCATGCACCCCCCATGCACTCCCCATGCACTCCCCATGCACTCCCCATGCACTCCCCATGCACTCCCCATGCACTCCCCATGCACCCCCCATGCGTCCCCATGCACTCCCCCATGCGAACCCCGATGCGCCCATCAGGTGCTGGCGGGGCTGGCGACAGTGTTTGGCGGCGTGCGGCAGAACCCCTGGGCGGTGGGCAGCTGTCTCACGCAGCGCCGCTTCGTGCGCTTTGTGGAGCGCATGGTGGCGGCGCAGCCCTGGGTGCACGCCGTGGCTTACATGACGCTCATCAACGGCTCACACAGGTGCCCAGCCCCGCCACCCCCCCCCCCCCTCCCCCCCCCCCCCTTGCTGTCTTATCCCTTCACCCCTACTCCCTCCGACCGCCTCTCCACGGCTCTCACATGCATGGCTGGCAGACGGACTTCCAGGGGGGTGCTGTGTTTTCCCTTCCCTGCACGTTTTGCAAACTTCTTGTCTTGTAGCTTTCACCTCGTGGCGCTTTCTTGAGTTTGTATGCATTCTGAGATTCTCTCGCTCACGTCTCATCTCACATTTTCTTCCATCAGCAGAAGCCGCTCATCTCCCTCCTTCGCCTCATCTCCTCGTCCTCCTCGTTTCCATCCTTCCCCTTCCTCCACCTCCCCCATCACCCCACCCCTCCCCTCTCTCCCCTCTCACTCGCTGCAGGGCGTTGTTTGAGCGGGCGGCGCAGTGCAAGCTGTTGGACATTCTCGGCAAGCCGGCCCTGGAGGCGGATTGGTACATGAACTCGCGCGTGTGGTTCCAGGAGAACCCCTTGCTGCCGCTGCTGGAGGTGGGCTCTGTGTGCATCAACGTGCGCACACACCCCTCGTACGGCCCGCAGCTCGCGCGCATGCACGACCTGGCAGTGAACCTGCTCAGCATGCCCTACGTGCTTGACAATGGGGAGGCTGGCATGGGTGAGTGCGAGTGGTGTGGTGAGTAGGAGGGCCATGGTTGAGTGTGAGGGGCGTGGGTGAGTGTGAGGGGCGTGGGTGAGTGTGAGGGGCGTTGCGTCAATGGGTGGGAGGGGCGTGTGTGAGTGGTATGGGTGAGTCGAAGTGCTGTTGCTCCTTCTTCCTCCCCCAGTCGCTACCTTCTCTCCCTGCCATTCCCCATTCTTCCATAGCCACCCTCTTCATCTCTCACTCACTCATCCTCTACATCTGTACCGTACCCCTCCCCCGTCCCCTCCCCCGTCCCCTCCCCCGTCCCCTCCCCCGTCCCCTCCCCCGTCCCCTCCCCCGTCCCCTCCTCCGTCCCCTCCCCCGTCCCCTCCCCCGTCCCCTCCGCCCCATTGTGCGGCCAGGCATGGGATTCCCAATCTTCAGGGACGGCGTGACAACGTCGTCGCCGCTGGAGGAGAGGCGGGCGGCGTTGATCGGCCTCATTGCGGCGTCCATCGATTTCAAGAGCCTCGCCGCCTTCATCATTAACGAAGTGCTTCGCCAAGGTGCAGTGCTGCTACTTGAATGTGCTGTTGCTCCCTTTGCTGCACACAATTACTCCAAGGAGACTGTTCAAATTAACAAACATTTAGTGTGTGTGTGTGTGTGTGTGTGTGTGTGTGTGTGTGTGTGTGTGTGTGTGTGTGTGTGTCTGTGTCTGTGTCTGTGTGTGTGTGTGTGTGTGTGTGTGTGTTTTTTTTTTTCCCTCACTCTCCTCCTTTTCCAGATGTTCAGTACTCCCTCGAGGTCTATGATGTCACCTCCAGTGACCGCCTCGCTTTTTCCTCACCCTCCTCCTCCTCCTCCTCCTCCTCCTCCTCCTCCTCCTCCTCCTCCTCCTCCTCCTCCTCCTCCTCCTCCTCCTCCTCCTCCTCGTCTTCCTACACCCCGCGCCTGCTGTACGGGGTGGGCGACTTGCCTCAAGGCGACCCCTTGCAAGTGGCCAAGCTCATTCCACCGTGCAACGAAACGATGCTGCAGCCACACCGCTACAAGGCCGTGCAGCAAATCAACCTCACCGACTCGTCACACACCTACCAGCTCTGGTGCCGGTGAGTTGCTTCCAAGGCATGCGTTGGTCCAGATGTGTGTTCCTTTCATCCTTTCACAAGAAGTGCTTCTCTCCCAACTCACCACCCTCCACTTCTGTGGCTAAAATAAAGCTGAGTCCACGCCTTATGCTTCCCTCCACGCCTCATGCTGCCGGCCACGCCTCATGCTACGCCTCATACTTCCCTCCACGCCTCACGCTTCCCTCCACGCCTCATGCTTCCCTCCACGCCTCACGCTTCCCTCCACGCCTCACGACTCCTCTGCCTGCAGCTTTGGCGAAGCCGACACGGTCCACAGCTGGACGGCCGTTATTCAAGGCCCCATTTTTACAGCTAAAATGAAGTTCTACACTTTGATCCCCCATTCCTCATACTGCACTCATCTGCTTGCAGCTTTGGCGATGCTGACACGGTCCACAGCTGGACGGCCGTGCTGCTGGCGGTGCTGATCATGGTGGTGGCGGCGCTGCTGGCGGCTATCGGGTTGAGCGTGGCGTGCAACACGCGTGGTGTGCGGGAGAAGGTGGCGGCGCTGGCGATGCTCAAGGAGAGAACGCAGGCGGCGGAGCGCAACAAGAGTGCCTTCATCGCCAACACGGCGCATGAGCTGCGCACCCCCATCATCGGCCTCAAGGGTGCGTGGGCAGGGGAATGAGCCGAGTGGTGCGAGTGGTTTCTAAGAGGGCACAGGGCGATGTATGTGTTGCGGATGTCAGCACTGGTCAGGAATGGGGCGAGAAGGGTGTGTGGATGGGAATGGGATGGGTGGGTTGAGTGGATCGATTGGTTTCTGAGAGGGCTCAAAGTGGGTCGTTATGGTCGCTCATGCAAGGCTATGGGCTCAAAGTGGGCGCAATAACGCTCTGTTATGTCGGCACCCCTCTCACTGGATTTCCGGCACCCCCCCCTCTGAATTGCCGGCACGGCACTGCACACGCGGTACACGCAAAGCGATGGATGACGCATTGTTGTGCCCTCTCCCTCCCCCCCCCCCCGCGCTGACCCCACAGGCATGTTGGAGGAGCTGGCGGAGGGGGAGGTGGACTTAGGGCAGAGGGAGGACGTGGGGACGGCGGTGGGCGAGGTGGAACGCATCGTGGCGCTCATCAACGTCGTGCTCGACGTCTCCAAGGCCGAGGCCGGCCGCCTCACCATGGAGACCCTGCCCTTCGATGTGCGCTCCTGGCTCAGGGACACGCTGCACTCCCACGCCTGCGCCGCCCACGCTCGCAACCTCAATTGTAATCATCTTCCTCTCATCTGTTTTCGGTCCCTTCCAGCAATGCCCCTAACTCTGGTGCTAGAAAGCAATCCATCACACATCTCACAAGCAAGTGTTGAGTGTTTCTTTTTGTAACCTCTGTATTAATTGTTTGTGTGTGTGCCCGTGCCCAGTTGCGTGCCGTGTGGATACGAGTGTGCCCGAGGTGCTGGAGGGGGACTACATGCGCCTGCAGCAAGTGGTGGACAGCATTGTGGGTGAGTCACCAGGGCTGAACGGGATGTCGTGTGCATCGCCGCTAGATGAACCTACATTACGTGTTACACTTCTCTTGTTCCCTTTCCATCACTCAACTTTGGTCCCTTTGTTGCACGCGTGTTTTTTTTTTCTTTTTTTTCCCCCTCCCTCAACTGCTACCTGCTGCAGACAATGCCATCAAGTTCACGACCAGCGGAAGCGTGTGTGTGCGGCTGCAGTGCCTTCCCCCCGACACCCACATCCCCACCCACCTGCTCTCCCTCGGCTGCCTCCTCGCTCAACCCACCCCCGCCTGCTCCTCGCTTTCAGCTGCTGCTGCCAATAATGGTGAAGCCACTTCTACTGCTGCCACCACTGCTGCTGTTGCCACTGCTGTCCCCACAGCTGCTGCTGCTGCTGCGCCTGGCGGTGAGCAGGAGCGAGCAGAGAGGGCGTGGAGAGAGCAGGTGGTGCAGCATGGGTTGGTGCAGCAGGGAGCGGAGCAGCAGGGGGTGGTGGGGGGCGTGGTGGGCGACTGGGCCCTACAGCTGGCGTCGCTCTGCACACGCTTCCTCCCGCGCCCCTCACACCCGCCAGTGGGGGCCATGGGGCAGGGCGAGGGCCACGAGAGGTGCGAGTGTGACGAGGAGGAGGGAAGGGAGGGGGAGGGGAAGCCGGAGGGGGGGTGGGAAAGGGAGGGGCAAAGGAAGGAAGGGTGGAGTAATGCAGAGAATGGGCGCAGGGAAGGTGTGGGGGATGAGGAATGGCGGAGAGGTGAATGGGGGGGTGCAGCAGTGCAGACAGTGCGTGGTGCGGCAGCAGGTGCATGTGTGCAGCAAGGGCGGGAGGAGGGTGGCGAGAGGGGGAATGCAGGAAAAAGTGGCGTTTCTTGGAGAAGAGGAGAGGGGGCTTCGCTGAGACATGGCGAAGAGGAGGACGGGGGTGGTCTTGGTGGTCTTAGAGCCGGGCGAGGTGCTGCTGTGCGTGAGGGGGGTGGCGCTGGCACATTTGAGGTAGGCAGGGTGGCAAGAGCAGCAGCATTAGGAGCGGGTGGTGGTGTGGGCTGGTGGAGCGAACCAGTGGGGAGGTGGTGGCGCGGGCGGGGCAGAGAGGAGTGCACAGAGGAGGAGGGGGGGGGTGGCAGGCGGTGTGTGGTGCTGCTGACATGTGAGGACACGGGGTGTGGCATCGCAGAGGAGGAGCGGCGCGACGTGTTTCAGGCGTTCATGCAGGTGAGTGAGCCCTGCCCTTCATGCCCTGCACCTGGTGTTGTGTGATTGATCATTCAAGCAGGTGATGGCAAGTTGATGTGTGGCTGGATGCTGCTCATCATCTAAAACCATCATTCTATGATACATTTTAATCAAGCTATTTTACTCAGGTACCAATTGAATGTACACTTTACACTGAAGTGTGGGAAGGAAGTTCTGGATCAGGAATATGAAGGATTTGCCTGCATGAATGCACCACAGTTGCACCTTCACCGATCCGTCATATTCTCTTGTTTTGTCGCACCACCTCGCGTCGCGTCAACAGGCACACCAGAAAAGACACGCGCATGGCGGTAGCGGCATGAGCCTTCACTTGTCACGCCAGCTGGTAAGTGGAGTCTGATGAGTCTGTTTCGAAGCTGGTGAGTCTGTTTCAAAGCTGGTGAGTCTGTTTCGAAGGTGGTGAGTCTGTTTCGAAGCTGGTGAGTCTGTTTCAAAGCTTGTGCGTCTTCAGCTCAGCACTTTCTTACTCCCTTCCTCTGTATATTATGGTTTGTTACTGCGCTGCACGACACTCACTGTCTGCTTCTTTCTTTCAACCACTTCCACGTGCCAACTTGTCGCAGGTGTCCCTCTTAGGCGGCAGCATGGGTCTGATCAGCACAGAGGGCCTTGGCACCACTCTGCACATCGCTCTGCCCTTTTATGTTCCCGCTCCTCCTGCTGCTGCTGCTGCTCATTCCCCGGCTGCCAGTTCTGCTCCCAGCGTGGGTTATGGTGCTGGCTGGAATGCCGTTCCCATTCCCAGCCCCATTACCAGAGTGGGCAACAGAAGCTTGAGTGCGAGCGAGAGAGAGCAGGGCTGGGGAGAGGCGGAGGGCACAAGCGTGGTGGAGAGGGCGGGTGAGAAGGTGGTGAGCGCCAAGGAGGCCCTCAAGGAGCTGCTTCAGGGCATGGCCATCCTGGTAAGATGCGAGCAATGGCTGTGCTGGTGAGATGCGAGCAAGGGCAGTCCACATGACAACAACGTCATATCTTCTTCTCTTTCAAACTCGCTCTCAATCGTCCTCTATCGGATGTACCCGCTGTGCTGGCCAGGTGGTGGACAACAACAACTCGCTATCAATTGTCCCTCCATTCTCATCTCGCTGCACCCCCTCTGCATGCCCCTCCCTCACCCAGGTGGTGGACGACAACGTGATCAACCGTTCTCAGCCCCTCTGCACCCCTCCCTGTACCCCCTCTCTCCACCAGGTGGTGGACGACAACCTGGTGAACCGGCGGGTGGCAGCGAGCACGCTGGCGCGGTACGGGGCGGAGGTGGCGCTGGCAGAGTCGGGCGAGGCGGCGCTGCGCCTGCTGCAGGCAACCCACTCCTTCCGCCTCGTGCTCATGGACCTCCTCATGCCCGGCCTCGATGGCTTCCAGACCACCGCCCGCCTGCGCGCCTTTGAGGCCAAAGCCCACACCGCCCAAGCGGGGTTGCAAGTGGGACAGGGAGATTGGCAACAACAGCAGCGCGTTCATGTGGTGGCCATGTCAGCAGATGTGGACTGTGCCGTTGTCGCCCGTGCCACTGAGGCTGGCATGGATGGCGCTGTGCAGAAGCCACTCAGTGAGAGAGTTCTACTGCAGGTGCTCTCAACACTTAACGGTTTGTAACTTTAACCAAGCAGTTTTAGTGTCGGCGTCACTTCCCCGGTTTGTATGCTACGGTGTATCTTTATTGTTTAATTTATTCATTGTTTTCTTATAGTACTACCGTACACGATTTACCGTAATCACCCGGATATAAGATCAGTAGTAGACCCCCGGGACTTCCGTATAATACGGACCTTGGTAGGTTTATAAGACAAATATGGTATGACTGTCTAAAATCTCAGACTTTTTCTTACAAATTGTTACGAGTGCAATTGAGTGAACGAACGAGAATTGCACTATCGGAGCAAGAGTACAATGAGCGAAGGCATGAGCGAAGAATATATAGCGAAACTACAGTGGTAACGGTAATGGACTGTGGTTGTCGCGCGACGGGCCTGGGACTGAGGTTGGGAAAAGTGTCGAAGCGGAGGCCCGGAGCGCGGGTTACCCGCCGAGCCGTGAAGTCGGGGTGCGATGTGCGAAGGTGGCGGGCGGATTGTCGATGCGAGGGTTGCGAGTGGTAACGGTGCTGACTGTGGTGCTACAGTGATGAACGCGTTGAGCAGGGATGCGAAGTAAGGAAAAGGAATTTTCCTTACACTACCCCCCCCCCTAAGGAGGTCCTCCTTACGAAAGCGCGTGTACATCCCTGAAATTTTGGCTGCGCAGATACTCGGTGAGGACGGGGTGGTTTTCGATTCTGTCCAGGGGAACCCACTTGTCGTCGGTGGGTGTACGGTCCTTCCAGCGGAGTAAGAACTCGATCCTTCGGGCTCCTCGAGGGTCGCGAACTCTGTCTCAGGATTTTCTCGGGGGTGATGATTGGTTCAGTTGGTGGTCTTGTCATGCTAGCTGGGCGATTGCGTGGCAGTTGGCTCGTGGACGGGACGTAAGGGCGAAGTAGGCTGACGTGGAATGAGGGGCTGACGTACCAGTCAGCAGGGAGGAGGAGGTGGGCGGTGACGGGTGTAAGCATGTGGCTTATGCGAAATGGCCCGCAGTATCGGGGGCGGAGTTTCGGGGTGATGGGCAGTCGGAGGTTCTGAGTGTCAAGTAAAACTAAGTCGTCGGGCTGGTAAGTGACAGGTCTGCGGTGGCGGTCGGCGTTGCGTTTAGCGATGATGTTCGATTTTTTTATTGCGTCTACTGCCCGGGTCCGTGCTGCTTGTAATATTTCGGCGAACTGTTGTGCTCGTGGTACTGGGTTGTCGGGATTCGGGGTCATGGGTACTGTTGGGTCTTGTCCGTAGTTTAGGTAAAATGGTGACTGTTGGGTCGTGGCGGATGGCGAGTTGTTGTACGCAAATTCGATTAGTGGCAGTTGCTGTTCCCACGTGGTCGGGTCGTCACACGTGGCCCTGATGAGCTGTTCCATGGTCTGATTTGTCCGTTCTGTCTGTCCGTCGGTTTCGGGGTGGTATGATGAACTGAACTGCAGTCGCGTGCCGAACTGCTGCCACAGGTTCCGCCAGAAGTTGCTGGTGAATTTCGTGTCGCGGTCGCTGATGATCGCGGCTGGTATCCCGTGCAGTCGAACCACGGTGGAGATGAAGAGGCGTGCTGTTTCTTCGGCTGTGATTGATTTTTTGCAGGCTGCGAAATGTGCCATTTTCGTCAGTCGATCGATGACGACCAGGATCGCGTCGTTCCCACTCGCCCCGGCTGGTAACCCCGTGACGAAGTCCATCGTCACCTGCTGCCAAGCACGCTCTGGGGGTGGTATCGGCTGCAACTGTCCCGCCGGCCGCTGTCGTGATGATTTCATGAGCTGACAAGTGGGACACGATGCCACGTGTCGTTGTACGTCGGTCAACATTTCGGGCCAGTAATAATACCGCTGCAGCTGCTGCCGTGTTTTTTCTACTCCGAAATGCCCCGAGGTAACTCCGTCGTGTGCCTCCTGTAACAGTAATTCCCGTAGCAGTGTATACCCAGGCACCCAAATGCGGTCAGTCCCGGTTTTTACGTAATAGACTCCCTTTGCTGCTGCGAACTGCTGCGAATTTCCTCCTGTGAAGAATGGATCCGTTTGGTACCCGTGGGTGAATAGGCCTGTCAGTAGCGGGCTTGTCTGGGCGAGTAGTATTGCGTGGATCTGGGCAGTGGGGCGGGTCAGTGCGTCGGCGATGTTCGAGGCTCCCTTTTTGTAAGTGACCGTATAGTGAAAGTTGGACTCGAGGAAATCGAGCCAGCGAATCTGTCGTGGGTTGAGGTGTGGCTGTGCGCGAAGGTACTGTAGTGATTTATGGTCTGTCCGTACTGTCACGTCCGCGCCAGTCAAGTAACAGCGCCATACTTTGAACGCGTGCACGATCGCAAGCATTTCGCGGTCGTGTATCGGGTAATTTTTCTCGGGCGGGTGCAGTTTTCGTGACTCGTATGCGATAGGCTGTAGGCCATTGCCGAAATCCTGTAGCAGTACGGCTCCGATGGCGATATCGCTTGCGTCGGTAACTACTTCGAATGGGCGGTGTGGGTCGGCGAAGCGCAGGACGGGCGGTGAACAGAGAACATTTTTCAGGGCAGAGAAGGCAGCATGCTCTTTCTCCCCCCATGTAAAAGCGACCCCCTTCCGCAGTAAATCCTTCAGTGGGGCAGTTAACCGTGCCATATCGGGGACGAACCGACGCACATAATTAACGAACCCTAAAAAGCTCTGCAGCTCCGTGATGTTCGTCGGGGGATGGTACGCTTTTACCGTATCCAGCTTCTTTGGGTCGATTTCAACTCCAGCCTCCGAAATAACGTGCCCCAAAAATTCTAACCTATCCTGGAAGAACTCGCACTTGGAACCCTTGGTCAGTAATGTCAAACATTATATGTTTATATTGTGTAGGCTATAGTGGGTTTAGCCTTAGGGGGTACAACTTTGCTAGGGTTGCCTACTTGTATCCCCATCATTCCTAGTTTGATCATTTCTCGTTCCATTCTAGGTTCTAACATGGTATCACGAGCCTAGGTTGCTACCTAGGACCGCTTTCTACTACGGGCCCACTATTCCGCTAGAAGCGCCCTCGTGCGCCCTACCTTACGTGCGCCCTCGTGCGCCTTTCTCTGCTCGTGCGCCCTCGTGCGCCCTCGTGCGCCCTCGTGCGCCTTTCTCTGCTCGTGCGCCCTCGCGCGCCCCGCCCTTCGGTCTGCCCGAGTGCCGTCCTGTAGCCCTCGCGCTGCCTCCTGCAAGCTAGTACGGCCCTCGAGCCGCCCCTGCAGGTCCGTCAGGCCCCCGAGCCGCCTCTGCAGACCCGTCAGGCCCCCCCCGAGCCGCCTCTGCAGGCCCGTCAGGCCCGAGAGCCGCCCCTGCAGACCCGTCAGGCCCGCGCGCAGCCCCTGCCCACGGCGTCGCCGCCTGCCCGCGGCATCGCCACCTGTCCGCGGCGTCGCCACCTGCCCGCGGCGTCGCCACCTGCCCGCCGCGTCGCCCTGCCCGCGGCGTAGTCACCTGCTCGCCGCGTCGCCCTGCCCGCGGCGTCGCCACCTGCCCGCCGCGTCGCCCTGCCCGCGGCGTCGTCACCTGCTCGCCGCGTCGCCCTGCCCACGGCGTCGCCACCTGCCCGCCGCGTCGTCACCTGCCCGCGGCGTCGCCCCTGCTCGCCGCGTCGCCCTGCCCGCGACGTCGCCACCTGCCCACGGCGTCGCCACTGCCCGCCGCGTCGCCCTGCCCGCCGCGTCGCCACTGCCCACGCGTCGCCCCTGCCCGCTGAGTCGCCCTGACCTAACCCGCGCCTGGCCTCTGGAGCAGCCGCCCCTGCAGCAGCCGCCCCTGGCTCCTGAAGCAGCCGCCCCTGCAGCAGCTGCCCCTGGCCACTGGAGCAGCCGGCCACTGGAGCAGCCGTCACTGCAGGAGCCGCCCCTCGCCCCTGGAGCAGCCGCCCCTGCAGCAGCCGCCCCTGGCCACAGTAGCAGCCGCCCCTGGAGCAGCTGCCACTGCAGGAGCCGCTCCTGGCCCCTGGAACAGCCGCCCCTGGAGCAGCCGCCCCTGGAGCGGCCGCTGTGGCGGCCCCGCAGTCGCCCCGATCGTACGCCTGCCCTTCCCACCACTGGTGAGCACTGCCCTGCCCGTACTACTACTGCTGTTACTGCTGCTGCTACTGCTTCTACTGCTGGTCCTGGCGTGGCCAGATGCAGCTCCAGGGCCGTCCGCGTGTGTCCCTCACGCCCCAGCAGCTTCGTGAGTGGTACGCCAGTTGGGGTTGTCGGGGTGGCAGTAGTGGGAGTCGTCCTGGAGTGGGTAGTTCGGGAGCTTCTTGTAGTGGCCCGGTGCAGCAGCCGCGTCGTCTACGCGAGGCTCTTTCGCCCCAGCAGCTTCGTGAGTGGTACGCTCAGAGTAGAGGGTCACTGAGTACTGCTCGCTGCCCGTACGTCATTCGCACAGGTGTCCGGACTGGTCAGCCTTGCGGGACACGTGGTCACACAGAGTCCCACTGCTTCGCCCGTCTGGGCGACGTTTGGCGTACAGAGCTTGGCGACGACGCTGAGCTCCCCGACTGGGTGGAGCTGCTTAGGCAGAGGGTAGATATCTTTGCTCTTGACTATGATGCTATCCTCACTGCCATGTATGCATTGTCTACTAGTGCTGAGAGTGCCTGTCACCTGTGTGTGCCGCCTGACCCCGGTATCCAGTCTACTGCTCTAGGTACTGGTGAGGCTGCCGCTCTAGGTGCTAGAGTCTCTGTTGCCCTAGGTGCTGGTGAGGCTGCTGCTCTAGGTACTCGTGAGTCTGCCCCCCCTGGTACTGAGTCTACTGAGGCACTGCACACCTTCACACTGGACTCAGGTGCTTCTCGCTGTTTCTTTCGTGACCGCACTGCCCTTGAGCAGCTTGCTCGGCCAGTTGCTGTCTCCCTTGGTGACCCCTCTGGGGGTCCGGTCATTGCGACCTCCTCCACTGTCCTTCCTTGTCCTGCGGTTCCGTCGGGCACACTGTCAGGTCTCCACCTCCCCTCGTTCTCTACGAACTTGGTGGCGGGTTGTGCGCTCCAGGACGGGGGTGTCCACCAGTTCACCCCTGCCTACGAGCGCGT